GGGGAACGCGTCGGGGCGACGAGAATTGCTGGTGTTGATGGTAAACAAGCACGGATTGACCCCCCTCAGTATTCCTGGGAACAGCAGTAGTCCAGTGCATTACCGCCCCCACGTAGCCCTTCGTCACAGTTGTATCGCTCTGCTGTTTTGGAGGTCCGCCGTGTATCTACAGGAAGGTGACCTCTACTACAGTGTCCGTACAGGTGTTTAGGGGCACTTTCTATTGAAAGAAGTAAATATTGGGCCGGGTTGCTCTCAAACACCAAGACAAATCAAGATTACTGTCGTTACGAAATGAGGCGTTTGAGCAATACTACATGTAGGGGAGTCCACACGACGATCACACACACACCTTCTCCGACTGCATCTGGAGGCGGCGGCGGATGGTGTCGAAGGGGTACGAGGCGTAGCCGGACGCAATGGCCACGGTCTGCGCGATGCAGAACTTGGACAAGAGGCCCTTGGCGCCCTTGTCGTTTTTGAAGGGGTTCTTCTCGCGGAAAGTGTCGTAGAGCCCGAAGTACACACCACGGTACCTGGTAAAAAGAGGGTTGGGTTGGCGGTTGGTGGTTCCCGTTCATTCTTCGTTGCCCTGACTTTGCAAGGTTCACTTATTGTAAGTGGAGGGGAGGGGGGGTGTACTCAATAGTCGTGCATGCCGTAGTCGTTAGACCATGGACCTCGCATCCCTACAAAGCCGGGACGGAGCACGCCGTTCTCACCGGACCAGGCTCTCACATCACCAAGCGCGAAGCNTCCTGCTAAGGGTGTTCGGCATGTTGTGCTTACTTCTTTGCGTACGGATGACAGCTGGGTATGACTTAATGTATTTTCTGGTGCTTTCACTTCCAGAGACAGTTGTAAGCCTTATGTATCTGCCTCGAGGGTGCTTGACCAATTAACAAAACGTGGTACGACCATCCCCTTCGCGCGGAGTGAGGCGTCTCGACCCCGCACAACATGATCTACTCCACCAAGGCGATGGTTCCCGCAAACAATAATGACAGAGGCAAAAAAAAAAAAACGGTAACCTGGTTGCCGAGCTCACGAAGTGATCGACTTGTTTTACAATGTCGTTGCCGGCGACGAAAACCCAATCCCGGTGCCAACACCGAGGGGGGGGGGGGGGGG